ACACTTTTACAAGCGCAGATATTTGCTACTTTATGAAAACGCTCCACTTTCAGTGATATCTTATCAATATCGGAAAGGTTGCGCTTGGGGATGGCAAAGATTACAGAACTACATAAAAGTTCATTATTATATTTTAAATCTGACTAAGTCTTATCTTTACAAAAGGACTTTTTAAGATACCTGCCAGGTAAAGGTTTCGAAATTTGATGATGGCTTATTTGTTATGTTCAATGTGGCCATTCATTTGTTGAGATTATGAATATTTATGCCTGAAACTTTACTTATACTTCTTATTACACCTGTATATATTTATTAAGCAAACTTCATTAGTGTAATGGTAGTCTCGAAACCCTACTCAAATAAAACTTCATTAGTTCTTATTTTATCATTCTACGACAGCTATTCACTCTTCTTAGTTTAATTGTTGGTGCCTTTTCAGTTTACAAGGCTTGTTAGGCCTGGTGTCATTTCCGATGACGGTCAAGAGCGAATATTTTCCCAATCGGCGTAATAAAGTTGTGCACAAATATCGGAGCATATAGAGGAGTAAATGAATCTGCAAAGAGAAGACGCTTAACCTGAGAGATGTTCATCGGAGTAAAGCCCAGGTGGACCAAAATCTTGGTATCTTATCACTTAGGCAAATAGGGTAATTGCTTTAGAAGCCAAGCGACATATTAAAGCAAGTGTTATTTGGCCCATTCCTTCGCTTTTATTTTATCCTTTTCCTCGATTTTTCTATGCGCAGTCGCCTCAGCTTGAACAGCAACTTCGCGGCATCATGTTTCGTCTTTTTCAATCAACAGAGCCAAAGCCAGTTGCTTCGACTCGAGAGGTCGCCGTCTCCACAAATTTTTCCACTGCCGATGCGCAGGTTGGCCAGAAAGTTCTGGTGCCAATGTCTCCCAGTGTTGGTCTTTACACAAATGTAGACGATATCGAAGCGCGAAACCACTATCCCACAGTTCTAATTGCTTCCAGACATCAGCCAGAGTCTTCAGCACAAGAAGTCACTGGACCGAGCCTTAGTGACAATCGAGAAGCAGAGGCCCGACATCATGATCAGATGGTGAGTACCATTTTACTTTGTCGTCATATAACGAAAGGTTGGTCCTAGTTCTTGGGGTTATTCAGAGGTCTAATTGAAAAAGGCAACAGAATCCGTTTAAGGCACGGCATATGGTAGATTGCTGCCTCAATTTAACCTGGCTTGCTCCTGGGCTATTGGGATAAGCTGGGCTATTGGGATAAGCTGTGCTACACCGTGTATGATAATCTCATGTTCGCCACATGTTCCAATCGAAGCATAGCCTGAGTACGTTAAAAATGGCGTATTTTAGTTTGAATGATAGTTTCCTGTATCCATCTAATTAACCTGACTATATGCAGCAGTTTGTGTAGCCAAGGCACTCGAAGCACACGATTTATATGCAAATATTTTAATATTATCCTATACCGTTTGCCAAATATTTTTAAAAATTTCGTTTAGGCAAAGCTGGAGGCCATGCGAAGGACATTTGAGGAGGAGGTAACATCCTTGCGTCAGCAAAATCTTCTAATTCACAAGGAGCTTATCGAGCTAAAGACAAAGA